ACTTTTACAGAAAATGCTGCAAAGCCGTAAAGAGGAAACCACTGGTAAACGGTGATCGCTCGGTTGTCGAATCTTAATTGTCTCACTTAGCAAAGTTCACAATTTGCAGGAAACGAGAGCACGATTTCAAATTTTTGTCAGGACTCAATTTCGACAGCACGACATAACACCCAGGGATCACGCGGCTATAGAATATTTATTACGAAGAGGGAAAAGACAGCTGGAAGCATATGAAGGCGACAGCGTCAAAGATATTTATACATAATGTCAGAGTTATATGATTTGCCGTTCACGTTTGCTGGCTTGAATCGCGTGATCTTTGAGCGAATATCTTTACAAAACTTGGACACCATTCATGGTCTCATGGCAAAAAATGATTACAACATATGTTTATTCACGATCCATTTTTTCTTCTCCAACCTTTAAGTAATGCAGACTTAATTTAATGAAATTGGCACAGATATAATTTATTTATGTCAAGGAAAAAAAAAAATTTTTTTTTATTTTTTTTCCTCTTTATTAAAACTTGCAAATCATGTCCATTTTTGTTTGTTTGGCCATTGGTTCACAAAATCATTTTATTAATATCTTAAGTGAATTCATAATTTCATCTAATTTGAAAATTTCCAAAAATATACGTGTTTAGTAAGATCTTTATTAATATTCATACTAGGAGTTACAAAAAAATTTTAATTGTTGATTATCTGATAAAAAATGTTTTATACCATATACAGTATGTTTATTATAGGCATTGTTACAGTATATACATTTTATAAAATAAAGACACTAATGAATATTCATTCCCACAATAATCAAATAAACACGATGATGACCTTTATAAAATTTATAAAAATTGAAGTATGCTAAATCTCGGAAACAATCTCCATTCACGAATAATTATCATGTGCTCCCAGAGCTTGATATAATACATAAGTACCGTCTGGCCAAATCAAAAAACTATAATTATTCTCCCCGCTCATAAAATGACCGTGTTCTTGCTTGTCCCAAGAGATTGGTGAGTCTCTAAACCCAAATACGCT